CGGCCAGGAGGAAACATTCTCGGGAACTTGCCAATGAGAAACTTGATTTGTTTAAATGTATAGATGATTTCATAAACACACATCATTGCAAACAACTAGGGTTCGACTGTGAAAGAACATGTCACTCTCAATAGTAACTGGCATTATAGGATATCGTTATTGATATCATTCAGAAACGCAGAGCTTCATTGTTCCAAATCGTATTTTAAGAGCTAAACATCATCTTCCCTTTTTTAACACTGATCTGTTTAATCTTTATCCCGGGGCATTACCAGCACAGCCACAGCCAGGCGAGAGACTTCATGATGTATGCTCGTCAGATCGCATGCCAGGGACACGCATTCTTCTGTTCCGCAGACTCGCGTCGCCGCCTCATTTCGGTGTGATGCTAGGGGGAGAGGGTCGCCGGGCAAAGGGGAAATGAGGGAATGGGGAGTAGAAATGATGGTCGCAATGGTATTAGTGATGAGAGTATTGATAACGATGATGACGATGATTTTAACAATTCTGATAATAGTACAACTACTACTAATGGTAATGATAATGATAACAATGATAATGATAATAATAGCAATGATAACAATGATAAGCCTAATGATATTCCTGATGATAATGATGATAATGATAGCAATGATGATCACATAACGATAAAAATGAATAGCTACGCCTATGACAACTACCATATTAAAATTGATAACAGCAATACCTGCGGTTATGCAAATAATAACAAAATCAATATACCCCAATCAAGCTTTTTCTTATAAACAATATCGCAAAGATTGACACAGCCTCCTCTCTGTCGCCCCAGTGTGTGAGCGACACTATTGACAGGTTGAGATTGATGTTAAGGGAGCGATATCGGCCATCAAATTGGATCTGGGCGGATAGAGATGCTCTTGTCTGAGAATCCGCCGCCAGCATGGAGTCCATTTCCATACTCCCATCAATCAAATTGCAATGAGAGCTTTAAAATCAGTCAATCATAAGTCTTTATGGGGAGGGGGATACTTGTTTCTTTTTCTCGTTCGTGACACAAAGAACCGGAAGGATCTTGGTAGAAAGAGAGAAAAAAAATATATATATATATAGTAAGGGAAGGGAAGGGAAAAAAAGACAAAAGTTTACTGCAAGGAGGAATTAATCTTGTGTTGCTACAAAAGAACGACGGACCCTCACAATGAAGAAGAATATGCCAGATGAGTGATGAGTTCCAGGATCTATTGATATCATCTGTCCAGGGCGTCGGAAGTCCAACTGAGGCCAAGCCGCTTTCTTGCGCCCCGGTTGTTGTTGCGGCGGTGGGCGGAGGGAGGCCGTTGCTCTCTCTCTCTCTCTCTCTCTCTCTCTCTCTCTCTCTCTCTCTCTCTCTCTCTCTCTCTCTCTCTCTCTCTCTCCTCTCTCTCTCATTTCGTTCCTTTTCTCTTTTTTGTTCTCACATATTGTCTCGCGTCACACTCGTGTTTCTCTTCCCTCCTCCTCCCTTCCTCTCTCTTTTTCTTCTTCCTCTCTTCCCTCTTCTCCCCTCTCCCTCCTCCTCCTCCTCCCTCTCCTCCTCCTCCTCCTCCTCCTCCTCCTCCCCTCTTCCTTCTCCTCCCCCAGCACCCCTACTGCCACAACAATAATCGAGAAGTGGCCATCGGAAGCGAGGAAGAACCATCGGCTCCGGTCCATTTAGGATACTTGAGGGTGGACTCCTTAAAGATACGCTTAGCATTGTCTTCATGCTTGCTTTATCCTCTCTTCCTTTCTTTCTTTCTTTAGTTGTGGTAGTTTAAGGTGGTTTTCCTTCTTTCACTCACTCACTCTCTTTCTCCCTCCCTCAGATAAGCAATCGACATTTCATTAATGATCACAAATACACGAAAAAGCGAGATTTCCTCACCTCGACGAATACATATGAACAAATGAACACTTTAAAAATAGTGATAAATCCACACAGTTCCCTGCTGCGTACACAAACAAGGCAGAACACAGAACATCAAAGATCGTGCACCATTACGCACCAAATTAACAAGAGCGAGCAGCTCCCTGGATCTACAAAACGCCGGCTTTTAAACTCAAATTGTCGATACTATTTATTTCCCCTCCGCGGAGTAGCTGGAGTCATCAACTCGTCCAGAAAATGGTCTAAAGCCACGGTTCATTTCGGCTCGGGCAGGGCGCTCCGGCCATGAGGCGTCTCGCTCGCTGGCGCTGCTGCCTCCGTGCGAGTGGGCGAGCGAGCGAGCGAGTGGCTGGCGGAGGAGAGGCTTTTGGAACTCGTCTGAGAGTGGCAGTCCAAAGGCAGGACGAGTGATGAATTGGCTCTAGATGTTGCTGAAAGGTTTCGCTCTTTTTTCTTTCTTTGCTTTGTTTTTTGTTTTTATTTGCGGCATTTTCTTTCGGGAGGTTTTGTGAGCGTGTGGGAAGTACGAGTATAAATAGACACTGATATTCCTTGAACATGGAGGGAACCGATAAGCGTCCAATGATTCGTTTTCGACTGCTGATTTTGGATTTATGTTTATTTTTTTTTTCTGTAGTCCACAATACAAGCAACGTCGACTATTTTTAACACTGGAGGATAAAGAGATGAAAAACAGCTTATAATGCGGCCTATATATTCCATACGCTTCTTTATTTACTATCCATGTAGGTTGTAAATTCATTCTCGTATGCCATATATAGGATAGGGTGGAGTCAAGGGGGGGGGGGAGGGGGTGGGGGGCTTCTCTCGTGGTCACTTTTACAACTTCTGAAGTCGTTTTCGTGTAAGGTTTTGTGTCTTTTTTTTCAAGAGAATACTGTTTCGTGTGGGTCGTATCCTTATATATATATATGTATGTGTGTGTGTGTGTGTGTGTGTGTGTGTGTGTGTGTGTGTGTGGTGTGTGTGTGTTACAATTACCTCAAAATAAGATAAGAAAGAAGGAGCGAAGACGTCGCGCCCAAACCCACACCAGCATTTATGTCCTCAAGTATCACTGCGTCCATTGAACCAGCGGAGAAAATTCGGAGCAAGGCAATCAGTGAGTCTAAATTTACTCACATCATTATCCATCTCGGGGGACACAAAGGTCCCTTCCCGACCTTAGCACCTACGCCCTTCTTCCTCCCGGCCATCAATTTGTAGTGGCCGGGAAACTGGCCATCTTAAACTGCCGGATTTTCCTCCTCTACAAATTAACTGCTGATCGACCACGCCTTCTGTACTGTCGACACGGCGTGGGAAGGGTAGGGGAGAGGGGGGTAGGGAAGCAGGGGGGGGGGGGGAGTTAGAGGGAAAGGAGATAGATGTTTTATTTGTGACTGTGTCTGATTTTATCAATTTCTTCCTTTTTTCCTATTTTTCCTTGGCGTCGATTGAGGATTGGTCTTTGTTTGGTCGTGGGAGGAAGCAAGTATATGATCACGGTAAATGGATCATGATAATGCCAATATTGGTAAAATGTCAATGGTAACATACTTTTTTTTCTGCTGAAATTCTTAGCTATTGCATTGGCCACGATAGATATCAACGATAATAGTAAAAGTAAAAGCAACAGTGACGACAATTTTACCAATATTATTATCGTGGCAGTGCTCGCTCCTCCTCCTCCTCCGCTTCCTCGAACGACCAGCCAAACACTAAGGAATCATGTCATTATATGGAAGAGAAAAACAGAAAGAATAAATAAATAAAATCATTCAAAGAAGCGATTCAATCCCTTTAAAGGCTCCGTCGAGGTCCTTTCAGCACACTTGACCCTCAGCCCATAATTGCTTCCGATCCCCTCGAGAAAATTAAGTCCCCTAAACGGCGAGCTTCGTGTCAGCTGGTCAGTTGGCGGAGTATTGGAAGGAGAGCATTATCTGTCTCCGTTTCGCCTCTCGTTGTCACCGCCGCCGGCCCCTCGTCGCTCTTCTTCTGCTGCTCCTACTACTCGTCCCTTCTTCTCTTATTCTTCCTCATCCTCTTTCTACTCTTCTTCCTCTCTCTCTCCTCTTCGTCATCTTTCTCCTCTTTCTCCTCCTCCCCCTCGACACACCCCCTGCACCTCTATTCTCCACCCCCCCCCTCCTGTTGACACGCTGGAGACGCCTCCGCCCGCCTGACACGAGACGGGCCTCGGCGGCGGCCACTTGTGACACGAACACATAATTTGGCGAGTGTCAGCCCAGGGTTAGGGAAACAGTTGCGGTCTCTGTCTTGTTTTCTTCTGCGGTCTGAA